AACATTTTCAAGTTCCAGATTAATACCTGTAACAAGCAAGGAAAACTATTTGTGGACGACTGATTGTAGATTAATACCTGTAACAAGCCAGGAAAACTATCTACATGAAGAGATTTAAGATTAATACATGTAACAAGCCAGGAAAACTATCTTTCTTTCTCAGGTCAGAGATTAATACCCGAAACCAGATGAGGAACTATCAATGTGACCAACATTTTTAAGTTCCAGATTAATACTTGTAACAAGCCAGGAAAACTATCTGTGGATGACTGATTATAGATTAATACCTGTAACAAGCCAGGAAAACTATCTACATGAAGAGATTGAAGATTAATACCTGTAACAAGCCAGGAAAACTATCTTTCTTTTTCAGGTCAGAGATTAATACCCGAAACCAGAAGGGGAACTATCTATGTGACCAATATCTTCAAGTTCTAGATTAATACATGTAACAAGCCAGGAAAACTATATGAGGACGACTGATTGTAGATTAATACCTATAACAAGCCAGGAAAACTATCTACATGCAGAGATTGAAGATTAATACTTGTAACAAGCTAGGAAAACTATCTTTCTTTCTCAGGTCAAAGATTAATACCTGAAACCAGACATGATAACTATCTCAATGACCCACAAAAACAAGTTCGAGATTAATACCTGAAACCAGACAGGAAAACTATCTGTGAGCGACTGTTTGTAGATTAATTCCTGAAACAAGCCAGGACAATTATCTACACGACCAGCTGAAGTAATCCTACATGGTCTCCTTCTCATATTCTTTTCTAGAAATAGTTCAGATGCGATCCATATACGACTAACATTCAGATACTTATTCCAGATTCTCTTCTAGAAACATTTCAGATGCGATCCAGATACGACTGACATTCTGATACTTATTCCAGATTATTTTCTAGAAATAGTTCAGATGCGATCCAGATACGGCTGACGTTCTGATACTTATTCCAGATTCTTTTCTAGAAACAATTTAGATGTGATCCAGATATGACTGACATTCTGATACTTATTCCAGATTCTTTTCTAGAAACAGTTTAGGTGCGATCCAGATACGACTGACATTCTGATACTTACTCCATATTCTCTTCTAGATACAATCCATATACGATCCAAATACGGATGTCATTCTGGCACTAATTCAACATATTTCTCAAATACAGTCCAGATACGATCCAGATACAGATGTCATTCTGACGCTCATTCAGTACATCTTTCAGATACAACTCAGATATGATCCATTTATGGATATTATTCTGATACTCATCCCACTACATCTATTGTTTCAGTATAAATCGACCAGGGATTTATTCTAATACTTCTTCCATTTTTTGTCAACAATCACTTTTGGATGACATCTGTAAGCCCATCTCTGACAACTCCAATCATCTCTCCAAATGGCATCTTTAAGCCCATTCCCTACAGAATCAACCACCATATCATCAAGTGAAAATTTATGGGCACTCTAGTGTTCAATCATCTTCCACCTTCAAGTCACGAATGGCAGACTCGCCAATCTAACTCTTCAGGTTTAAGAAGATTGAATAGGGGCAGATGTTGTACCCTAAAATTTTCCCTCTCTTTTCTCAAGGCATTTCCCACAAGGATTCTAAAAAATTCAAGCTTACACAAGTACAATTGAATTTTTCAGCATCAAGTTAAAGAGGAAATTGTCAAAAAGGGAAAAGCAGATAAAAATATTCTTTTTGACAAAATTGAAGAAAAAATAAGTTTGATTTGATTCATGCTTAACTTCGACTGAACTCTCCCCTGCATGCAAGCTTCGACTGAGTATTTGTTTCCCTTTGAAATAAAAACCTTCGATTCAGGAGGCAAGGACCTCCTGTTAGCTTCCTTCGATTCAGGAGGCAAAGGCCTCTTGTTTGGTTTCCTTTGATTCAGAAAGTTGATAACCTCCTGGTAGCTTCCTTCGATTCAGGAGGTAGAGGCCTCTTTTGGTATCCTTCGATTTCACCTTTTACCTCCTTTTGGCATCTTCGATTGCATATTTTGCCTCCTGTATGCCTCTTTTATTTGGGCATGTGGCCTTCCCTTGATGCAAGCCTCATTTGGGCATTTGCCTCCTGCATGCCTCTTTCGTTTAGGCATGTGGCCCTCCCTTGATGCAAGCCTCATTTGGGCATTTTTACTTCCTGCATGCCTCTTTCATTTAGGCATGTGGCCCCCTTTGTTGCAAGCTTCGTTTGGGCATTTAGACCTTCTGCGTGCATCTTTCGTTTGGACATTTAGACCTCATGTACGCATCTTTCGTTTGGGGCGTGTGGCCCCCTTCAATGCAAGTTTTGGTTACACCCTTCGTTTAGGCATGTGGCTCCCTTCATGCAAGCTTTCGTTTGAGCAAAGACTCCTTGCATGTTTGCTTGGAGTCATAAAGCAGTAGCCTCCTAAAGCTTTCCTTCGATTCAGAGGCCATTTTCCCTTTGTATGATTCCTTCGACTCACAAAAACTAGGACTCCCTTTAGGCCAGAATGCACAAGGCAAAAAGCTTTCCCATGACTGACATTCACAAGGCAATGATGCCCACAAAGCATTGGCTACTTTCACGCTAGTTTCGACTGGGCAGTATCTCCCTTGGAAACAGTTTGTTTCGACACACACAGTTTTTGCACTATGACACTCACAACTAGCACATTCAAAGGAACATACAAAAGGCCTATTCGAAAGACACCTATTTCGTCCCTTTCAAAGGATACATATATGAGCCAATCGAAGGATACTTTGATTTGAAAAGAAATGTTGTATGTCTGAAAAGGAGTCTAGTCGAAGGATAAGGCTAGGGGGTCAAAACAAAAGGTTGAGATATCCAAAGATACTTGCTGGCCAGAGTCCCATGTGCTTCCAAGTTCAGGCCTGATACACTGGCCATAACACTCCAAAACTGCTGCATAGCAGTCCTGCAACACTGCCTTTATTCTTGTACCAACTTGGCATACGAATACCGCCCCTCGAAAGCTACAAGAACAACATGCCCTTTTTGTTCAAAATTTCTTTTGTTTTCCCTCCTAAAACATCAACCAAAATCATCTATAAATATGAGCCTCCACCATACATCTTAGGGGCCCCTGGATAGTTACAAAAAAACTCTTGTTGTGAGAAAAGTGATAAATTTCTCAAAAAACTCTCAAACACTATCCAACGTTTTTTCAAATATTCCAAACACTTCTAAAAAACTCAGACCCCTTCACACACTAAGTGAACCCTTCGATTCACTCCTCAAGTTGCCAGATAACTAACCTTCGACCCATTCCCCCAACTGCAATATAACAATCTTTTGATTCACTCCCTTACCAGTTATAGAGTAACCTTCGATTCACTCACACACCCTCCTTCGTTTCAGTGACTACTCAAACAAGGTAGTAACTAAACTAGCCTCAGGAAGACTCCAACGAACTTCCATTCACCACCAAGAAAGTCACTTGCAGTTTCCTTTGACTTAAGCGCTTCAAGAGGTAAGTTCTCTCTAAACTTGGAACTATTTCATTTAAATATCATGTGTACATACCAATAAAGAGAAAATGTAGATATTTCATCTAGGGAGTTTGACCATGCTTTAACCTTCGATCCTTACTTCCTATATGTTGAAAGTCTCAACCCTGACTAGTTAGGCTTTGGATTTTGAGGCCCAACCCTGGCCTGTAGCTTTCGAAATTTACACTTGAATGTTGCATTTTTAAAAGTTTAAAGCAGGTTCTCTATATCCTTTGTTTGGCTGAATATTCAAGCCTTTTGAATCTCAGCCTGATGGCCTAGCATTCCTGCAATCGAAGAAGGCAGCAAGGAGCTTGAGGCGAAGAGTGCACCTCATGTTGACTCCAGGCCCCAATCGAAAGAAGCGGGAAAAGGATGAAATCGAAAAGGGTGACCTTACTGATTCCAGGCCCAAATAGAAGGAATCCAAGAAGGGCGGAATTGAAGAGTGTTGCTGTCTGAATCGAAAAAGCCCATTTTCCCTTCTTTATTTTGTTTTGTCTTTACATTTTCTTGCTATTCAGTATGGTTGTAATAGTGTAGGATTTATTTTCTGCATTTTTATTACTTTTGTATAAATGTTAGTAACTAGGATGTATGGCAAGATAAAACCAACAAGTAGATCACCCTAATCAAAGACTAAATGCATGCAAATCAAACACATTATTCACACACATGCACCCTTAGGGTACTAGTTGCCTCGGAAAAATAGTCACATCCCTCAAATATGGACATTTTAGCAAAGACCCTTGATAAAAGATCGTAGTCCCTCGATGACCCTCAATGTTTCCTTCGGTAAACGATCTAGTCCCTAAACGAAAATTGCTAAAACGTCCCATAGGTTTCCTTCTATGACTATACGAACGTCCCATACCCGTCCCTTCACATCCAATGATGGGGCTTCTTACCAAATAAATGGTAAGATAGCAACATCTAAAGGAGGAGGAAAAAAACATTAGACCTTTTGAGTAGGTAGGATGCTCATCGTTGCTCGCTTGCTCACAACAAAAACATTTTTACACACCAACACTTTCCTTTGAAACATTTTTAAAAGTTAAAACGCTTTGTACGCATTCTTATAGAAACGAGAATCATTACAAAGACACTTTTCAAAATCACTTTCAAAAACACATTCCACAAACACCTTTTTGAACTATTTTCAAAACCAACACTTTGTACGCGTTCTTATAGAAACGAGAACCATTACAAAGATGTTTTCAATATACTTTCAAAACCCACACCACAAGCACATTTTCAAATAAAAGCAAGTGATCTAGCAAGAAACTAAGAGCCCGTAGATAACTACAGATGAAAAGGGTGCTAATACCTTCCCTTTTCATAACCTACCCCCTGAACTCAAGAAATAATCTCAAAGGTCTTTCCTGTTCTTTTCACCCTTTCCTTATTGGATAAAATAAAAGTCAGTGGCGACTCTTGCTATCCACAACAATTGCGATTACACGCAAAACATCCAAGTTAGTTCTCCCACCGTATTACAATGTACAATGCTGAAAACAACACTAGTCAAATTAGGCTTGAGCGTATGTCCCAAATTGCGTCGATACAATGTGAGAGGGGCGCAACGAGGACCATGAGGCCACGAGTTACTGATAACTCGTTTGATGGTGCATCTACTTTGCAGCCCCGAGGTTCCCACCCGTATGGTTATTGTAGCCGACTCTCTCAAGAATATGATGCAGCAGAACCTGAAGTTCCTAAATCCCTTGAAGCCCATGAGAAAGTTGTTTCCCCTGTCGATACCCCATTATAGAGTTACCCTGGAGGCCCATTTGACACCTTCTTACTTCATCTTTATGTAGACCATGCTGCTAGGCATCTCACGTCATGAAGAGGTATATTTTCTTTCTTTTGCAATATATATGTTTTTAACTAATTAAGTCGATGATGATCGTGATATTTTCTTTTTATAGTAGCATACATGTTCGAAATCAATAAACAACGACAGTAAGATTTTGGATCTGGAATAATCCATTGTTGCTTGGTTCATTGATGTTTTCTACTATTTCAATCTTTCCAGTTTATGTTCTTTATTTTTACATGATCATAAACCACAAAATGAAGGCTGCTTTTGTTGAGAGGTGACATTCAAAGATGTCATATTTCTACCTACCTATAGGTGAGATGACCATCTCCTTAGATGACGTCTCATGCCTCATGTATCTTCCCATAAGGGGGATATTACTGGACCATAAAAGGATCGAGTGAGAGGAAGCCGTCAATACGATGGTCATCCAATTAGGGGATCGACCCTACTAAGGTCGCAGAGGAGGAACATGATACTAGAGGTGCTCATGCTATGTTTATTTTTTTGAAAAGCTTTACAAAACATATGTAGTGGGCCCTAGATGCTGTAGGCGATGGTATGCAGGTTGAGTAGCACCGACATTGTGCATTGAGTATTTACCTCTTGTTTCTGGTTGACACATTCATATTTGTGGACAAAAGGGAAACCTATGTCGATGTGTTCTACCTTAAGTACTTCATCGACTGGACTTCGATTCACGAGTACAACTGGGGGGGGGGGGGTGTTTGGTCTACATGTACTCTAAGTTGGGCGACAATTATCTTTGGAAGACAAAGCAGATTACAGGGAGATGCACGCTGCTTATGATAATTTCTTGTTACTAGTATTTTCATAATTCATTTGTTACACTTGTTATTAAAATTTTATGTGAGCCATTTTCAGGGATGGATCATCTCTGACTTCCCTCAAATCATTGGGTGGGAAGATGCACATGCCTACAGTGAGTAGTTGTCACATGCAACCACATTTGTTCCGTACATAGGGAATAGTGAAATCGAGCCATTAAGAGTATCTCTTGACCGTATGATATCAGATGATGTTTACTTCTGCCCATATGAGGATTAGTGCCAAACACGTCAGTTTGATGTCATTTTCTATACTCTGGATGGATGGCATATGGATCATCTCTTATGTATACTTATCTTCTCGAGTGATCAATGTGCTAGTTTGACTACTTGCATATTATTCTGAGACCTCCCTATGAGTTTTATCCTTCTGGCGTCCACCATAGAGATCTTGGTGCAATACTAGATGATTTTGAGAGTCACCTAATACTAGAGGAGTTTCGCCGGGTGCCAACTCCTTTTCAGTGGGCTTATGCTGAAGGCTATTTGACATGGTTATATAGAGTGGCACGCCCTATCATGACACCAAACGCTCCTGGAAGACCACCTAAGCCATCTAACCACGAGGTAATTAATGCTCGAGATGACTACACAGAGAGTGTGACGACGGTCTTTCGGCGTGTTATAGAAATGGGTAGAGCAGGCATATAGTCAGGAATCTTTTAGGTTGGTAGTGAAAAGTTGGCCCTTGTGGAGAACATGGTTGCCAAGTTAAGAAATGTCGTGCAATACAAGAAGATGAGGAGGCAAGGGGTTATACATACCCAATAGTTAATTTATATTTGTATGTATTATTTTTTTGTATTTTATGATAAAGGTTATGTATGGTGTTGACTTTTTGGATTAATGTATGACTTTTTACTTCCATTTAACTTTTATATAACTTCACTTTACTTTGATTTTAATTTAATATAAGTTGGCCTAAAAAATCGCAATGTTTGGACAATGGTGGTGTTCTGATATGATTCAGAGGGTTTCGGATATGCATCTCCAGAATAATTATCCCTTGCAATTAACACACTTCTAATAACTTTCAGGAATCATTTCGGAGATGCATCTCCGAGCACACTGAAATAGCATACAAATATGCATCTTCAGACCATATTTTGATCAATGTAGGGTAGATCTCAGAATAATGCATTTTTGTGTGATTTGGGTGCGTTTGAAGATGCATCTTCGGATGCTTGAAGGGATTTTTTTTTTTGGATTCAAGGGTGTGTCATTCACACTTAAGGGTGAAAAGACGATCTCCCTAAAAATATTGATAAAGGAGATCTCACTAAAGAGTTATATTCTTTGATAGATATTATCCATAAATCAATGCGTAGAACTTATCCTCTTATCCTCCAAGTTTGACCAGCCACCCTCCACATGAGCATTGTTATTAATTTTATGCCCTTAATAATTCCATATTTTTAAAAGTACAGTAAAATACTATATTTTTCCAAGGATTAGTGAAAATTTTCCGTTTATATGAAAAAATAACATAAAACAAAATATGTTGACTTCCTAAATTCTTCTTCCTAACTACTTATACATCTTGCATACATTGTTTCCCAAGCTCTTGCACCTTCACTACAGTTTTGTCTCCATTGGTCACTGACAGGGAAAATGGACAATTGGGTTTCAACTTCATCTGAACCCAATTACTGTTGTTAACAAAGTCAACTACAATAATTTTGTGTCTACTCAAAACTATGCATTGAGATATTACTAATGGGAAGAATGTGATGTTAAGGTTCCTAGACAACGAGACCAATATGACACTGTATCTAGAAGCAATAGGGTAACTCATATTAGGATTCGTCATCCATTTCTCATGACCATGCACACTCAAGATAGCTACTTGCAACAAACTCCTAACTTCAGATACATATTCATATAACACATTAGAATACATTTGATGGTGTTGATAAAATTCAGTATCTAACTATGTTCAAACTAAAGGCGATGACTCTTCGCTGCATACAAGTAAAACTGTAATAGCACGAAAACCACAATTTCAATCTTGACCCACATCAATAATATCATAAATGTACTAATGTAATAAAATATGAAACTTAGACAAGTAAAGATGTTTTGAAGACTGGCCAGACGGTTGACTTTAAGTTGGTTTCGTACATGATTCTTTGTAGTCTGACTTTCCTGTGAGCCCTTAGCATACTCCCAATGCGAAGGATCACGATGCACATCACTCTCTTGACCCTTTTTACTCTTCTTATTTCCCCTTTTTGGCTTATAATTCACTGGTGTTAGTTCCCAACATCTTCAACTCTTCAACTATAATATCCAGTATACTGAAGTACCTCTTCAACTCTTCACACTCTTCTTCTAAATCTAATTGTGTCCCGCCAACTTCTTGAGCTACCTCATTGATCTTCAATGTATAATTTATTCCAAAATATTGCGGTGGGAAAATTTGAGAACAAGCTATTGATTAATGCTGTACCCCAAAATTTGCCCTCTCATAGTTCTCAAAACATTTCAAGGAAAATCTCCAAGTGGCTCAAGATTACTCAAGAGTTGGACAGTCAAGCTACCTCTTAAGGCAGTCAACCTCAAATTAGGGTTTTGTGTTGCATCAAGGTACTTGCATCCAAATGACCTCAAGTTCTCCCCAATGTCCTAATATGTTCTCAAGTTCATCCATGTCAAATTTCAAGCCTTGCAGAGGAAGTTTGCTCAGTCAATTGCTCAAGGGGTTCAAAAATCGACTATGCTAGGGCAAAAGTCAACTGTGACCTACAAATAGTCAAACTTCAAGATTTTATGTCAACATTCTCATTTTGAAGGATATTTCATCATTTGATCAAGGGTTGATCATGACTCATCAAGGATTGCTCAAAATTCATCAAGACTCAAAAGTTGCTAAATTAGGGTTTTGCAGGAAAAGTCAACTCAAATTTGACCAAACATAACTTTCTCATACTTTATGAGAAAGGATCCATCCAAAGATCACTTTGAATAGAATTCAATTTCCTACAATACATCTTCATACCCCAAGATCAAGAAATGCACTCACAAGAAGTTACAAATTTGGACATTATAGGTCATTTTTGAAAGTCAACAAAAACACCTTTTTTGCCAAAGCTTATAACTTGAGCATGGAATATCAAAATGAGATGAGATCAAAAGGGTTGGTTATAGGACATATCAAGATTTCTAAAAAGTCCAAGAACACTTCCAAAAGTTCAAAATTAAATAAGTTATGCATTGTTGAAGTTGGGCATTTTTGCAAAATTGCCAAAAGTCAACTATCCCCAAAACTTCAAATTTTGTCAAATGGGCCCATTCTTTTCCACTTGATTTGATCTTGTCACACTACACACGTGTCCTAGCTTCAGCCTTGTGACCATTTGTCAATTTTATTATTTAATTTGATTTTTTAATTTATTATTTCATTTTAAATCAATTTAAATCAAATAAAATCCAAACATTGATTATTTGATCTCTTTTTGGCTATTTCAGGATTGAATCATCATCATCAAGTGTATCAAATTCGTATCATACATTCCATGTGCAAAAAGATTGGATTTTGGACAAAATTGGAAGGTTATCAATGGTGAATCAAATCAAATCCCAAAACATCAATGTGCAAAGATTCAAGACCCAAAAGTTGACCTAATACATTGCAACATACATATACAATGCAAAGGACACGAATTCAAGGGTTAGAGGCTGCAGAATCATCAAAAGCAAACTTGAAAAAATTGCCAAAAAGTTTGAAACTGAAATCGTTCTTAGAGGCAAATTCAAAGGTAAAACTCAATGTGAATCAATTGCTGGACCATCCTTGAAGCAGAACCAACCCAGAATCAATCTCCATACGCGCCCTAAAGCTCTGTAAGTCTCTCTAAAAACCACTTTTCATTTGAAATCGCAACTCCATATTCTTGCACTTTTTTGACAAATCTTTGGTATATTCATGATGCTCATTCAATTTCTGAACTTTTGGCATTATTTGATTGTGTTTATATGAACCATAGCCATGTAACCGAACCTAGGGTTTCGTAGATTGATTTTTGGGTATTTTATTTTCAGGAAAAATCAGCCCCATTGATGGACATAGGCATGATCACTGGAGGAAGACGAGCATGACCA